TTTCTGATTTTCCTTTGATCTATACAACCAAATCTACTGTTAATGTGAAATAGGTTTTCCCTTCAATCTCCCAATAAGCTTCTCGCATATAAGTAAATGTCATTACCAAGCATCACTTTTACATGGTGAGGACAGGCTGTATGCGTAGACAATGTTGCTCAACCGTAGAAAGTGCGAATGCCCCTGAATATCCCCGCGTTGAAATCTTTCGATTATATCGGACAGCGATTGCAAGCAACAGAAAAAAAGCGAAAAGGCTTTTCTTTTATCCAAGGACTATATATTTCTAGAACAACAGAAATAACCAATTTTACGCTCTAAGTAGAGAGCTGCTTTGTCATTGAAGCAAAACAAACGCCTGATCGATCGAAGCTATGTTTTAAATATCTATTTATGAAACTTAGGTTCTACCAATAGGAAATAAAAACGAAACAAAAAGAAGGATAAAAAAAAAAGATCCCTGATAACAAATCGCATCTGTGGGAGCGTTATCCTTCGTCATCTCAAGAAGAAACAATTTAAAGCATTCAGTGTTTTTATTTATTTTTCCTTTCCATTTCGGTCTTAATTAGCTCATCCGCGGAAATCTATTTAATTCTGTTAAGAAGCACTGCGCATGCGTTCAACTCGGCTGCAGCGCTTGATTGAATTTAAATCAACTTTGAGGAATAATTACATTTCAGTAGATGACGTGGCTGCTCACAGCCTACGGGCTAACTTTTGTCTTGGCATCAGTTGCCAACACAAAAGGGAGCCACTTCCATAGAATGAAGATTTTCTCAATATATTGGGGTTTGTAGCATTCGGCAAGAAGTCGATAAATATTTTGGCTGGCATCAAACTAAAATGGAAGAAAATCAACAAAAGAAAAAAAAAAATAAAATTGTACATGTATTATTTGTACTATTTACACTGTTCGAACTGTGTCTCTCATCTTTGTTGGAAGAGGCATGGCACGTGGAACTTCAACAATTTACTCGGTGGACGAAATAAAGAGTTCGGTTCGATATTCCAATCACTGAAGAAGACTTGAGCATACAACGGCCGGAGAGTCGTGAATATGGCAACAACGGTGAGGTCAACAGTCCAAAAAATGTAAATAGTCTAAATAGTTGCAATCCCTCATCTCAGAAATATCGACATATCCTGAAGAAGGCTGAAGCGTACAACGGCCGAAACATGATATGACAACAAAGAAGGTCAACAGTCCGTAAAGTCTAGATACAACATCTCAGAAATATCGACATATCCCGAAGAGGCCGGAGCGTACAACGGCAACGTGATATGACAAAGATGAGGTCAACAGTCCGAAAAATGTAAATAGTCTAAGGACAACACAGATGAGGATCCGAAAAAGTTAGTCTAGAAAGTTCCCTCATCTCAGAAATATCGACATATCCTGAAAGAAGGAAACATCGATATGACAGCAGATGACAACAGTCCGGTAAATAGTCGATAGTTGCAATACCTCATCTCAAAATATGACAACAAAGATGAGGTCAACAGTCAAAAAATGTAAATAGTCTAAATAGTTGCAATCCCTCATCTCAGAAGTATCGACATATCCTGAAGAAGGCCGAAGCGTACAACGGCCGAAACATCGTGATATGACAACAAAGATGAGGTCAACAGTCCGAAAAATGTAAATAGTCTAGATAGTTGCAATTCCTCATCTCAGAAATATCGACATATCCTGAAGAAGGCCGGAGCGTACAACGGCAGAAACATCGTGATATGACAACACAGATGAGGTCAACAGTCCGAAAAATGTAAATAGTCTAGATAGTTGCAATACCTCATCTCAGAAATATCGACATATCCTGAAGAAGGCCGAAGCGTACAACGGCAGAAACATCGTGATATGACAACACAGATGAGGTCAACAGTCCGAAAAATGTAAATAGTCTAGATAGTTGCAATCCCTCATCTCAGAAATATCGACATATCCTGAAGAAGGCTGGAGCGTACAACGGCAGAAAATCTTGATATGACAACACAGATGATCAGTCGAAAAATGTAAATAGTCTAGATAGTTGCAATCCCTCATCTCAGAAATATCGACATAGGAAGAAGGCCGGAACGGACAACGGCAGAAACATCGTGATATGACAACACAGATGAGGTCAACAGTCCGAAAAATGTAAATAGTCTAGATAGTTGCAATCCCTCATCTCAGAAATATCGACATATCCTGAAGAAGGCCGGAGCGTACAACGGCAGAAACATCGTGATATGACAACACAGATGAGGTCAACAGTCCGAAAAATGTAAATAGTCTAGATAGTTGCAATCCCTCATCTCAGAAATATCGACATATCCTGAAGAAGGCCGGAGCGTACAACGGCAGAAACATCGTGATATGACAACACAGATGAGGTCAACAGTCCGAAAAATGTAAATAGTCTAGATAGTTGCAATCCCTCATCTCAGAAATATCGACATATCCTGAAGAAGGCCGAGCGTACAACGGCAGAAACATCGTGATATGACAACACAGATGAGGTCAACAGTCCGAAAATGTAAATAGTCTAGATAGTTGCAATCCCTCATCTCAGAAATATCGACATATCCTGAAGAAGGCCGGAGCGTACAACGGCAGAAACATCGTGATATGACAACACAGATGAGGTCAACAGTCCGAAAAATGTAAATAGTCTAGATAGTTGCAATCCCTCATCTCAGAAATAAATATCGAACATATCCTGAAGAAACATCGTGATATGACAACACAGATGAGGTCAACAGGCAAATAAAGTTGCAATCCTGATCTCAGAAAACATCCTGAAGAATGAGGTACAACAGAAGTCGTGATATGACAACACAGATGAGGTCAACAGTCCGAAAAAATGTAAATAGTCTAGATAGTTGCAATCCCTCATCTCATCGAAATATCCTGAAGACATATCCTGAAGAATGAGGTCAACAGTCCGAAAAATGTAAATAGTCTAGATACAACGGCAGAAATATCGACATGATGACAACAGAAACAGATGAGGTCAACAGTCCGAAAATGTAAATAGTCTAGATAGTTGCAATCCCTCATCTCAGAAATATCGACATATCCTGAAGAAGGCCGGAGCGTACAACGGCAGAAACATCGTGATATGACAACACAGATGAGGTCAACAGTCCGAAAAAAAAATAGTCTAGAAGTTGCAATCCCTCATCTCAGAAATAGACATATCCTGAGAATACAACGGCAGAAACATCGTGATATGACAACACATCTCAACAGTCCGAAAAATGTAAATCGACATATCATCTCAGAAATATCGACATATCCTGAAGAAGGCCGGAGCGTACAACGGCAGAAACATCGTGATATGACAACACAGATGAGGTCAACAGTCCGAAAAATGTAAATAGTCTGAATGGTTGCAATCCCTCATCTCAGAAATATCGACATATCCTGAAGAAGGCCGGAGCGTACAACGGCAGAAACATCTTGATATGACAACACAGATGAGGTCAACAGTCCGAAAATGTAAATAGTCTAGATAGTTGCAATCCTCATCTCAGAAATATCGACATATCCTGAAGAAGGCTGGAGCGTACAACGGCAGAAAAATCGTGATATGACAACACAGATGAGGTCAACAGTCCGAAAATGTAAATAGTCTAGATAGTTGCAATCCCTCATCTCAGAAATATCGACATATCCTGAAGAAGGCCGGAGCGTACAACGGCAGAAAAATCGTGATAACAACACAGATGAGGTCAACAGTCCGAAAATAAATAGTCTAGATATTTGCAATCCCTCATCTCAGAGCAAAGAAGGCCGGAGCGTACAACGGCAGAAACATTTGATATGACAACACAGATGAGGTCAACAGTCCGAAAAAATGTAAATAGTCTAGATAGTTTTCATCTCAGAAATATCGACATATCCTGAAGAAGGCCGGAGCGAACCAACGGCAGAAACATTTTTTGACAACACAGATGAGGTCAACAGTCCGAAAAATGTAAATAGATAGTTGCAATACCACATTTAGATACTGGACATGTAAAATAAAACGAAAATTTTATCAAAACATATTTGCTTTTATATTTTTTTAAGTAATCAAGACATTTATAGAAAAATTAAAGACAACATATTTGCCAGAATCTTAAATTCAGCTTGGCGATCCTAATCAAAAGTTGTATTCCTCAGTTGTAATGGAGGGAACATATCGCCTCATAACATTCCTATCTATCCTCCTAATAGAATCCAAAGATGGTTGGTCAGTAGAGTTGTTACTAGGGTAAATGATGACAGAATTAAGGTAAAACCAAATTGAAGGCATGTTGAATTTTAAGGGTACAAAATATCTACGGAGTCAGAGCTATCTCTATATTTATAAAACTTCAAGCATTTCTCTATCTCAGTCTGTTAATATCTATCTATCTATCTATCTATCTATCTATCTATCTATCTATCTCAGTCTCTTCACATCTATCTATCTATCTATCTATCTCAGTCTCTTCACATCTATCTATCTATCTATCTATCTATCTATCTATCTATCTATCTATCTCAGTCTCTTCACATCTATCTATCTATCTATCTATCTCAGTATTTCCTATTTATTTCTGTTTGCATCTATCTCAGTTTGTTCTTTATCTATCTATCTATCTATCTATCTATCTATCTATCTATCTATCTATCTATGTCATCTTGTTCATATCTGTCTCAACCTCTTCATATCAAAGTCAGTTCATATCTACCTATCTATCTCAGTCTGTTTATATCCGTCGCAACCAGTTTATATCTATCTATCTATCTATCTATCTATCTATCTATCTCAGCTTGTTCATATCTGTTTCAGTCTCTTCATATCTATCTACCTATGTATCTCTGTTCATATCTAGCTATCTATCGCTGTCTGTTTATATCTATCTATCTCAGTCTGGTCATAACTATCTATCTATCTATCTATCTATCTATCTATCTATCTATCTATCTATCACCGTCTGTTGTTATCTATCTCATTCCCTTTGTATCTATCTATTTATCTATCTATCTAGTTCTTTTCCTATCTATCTATCTATGTATATGTTAAAATTATATATATATATATATATATATATATATATATATATATATATATATATATATATATAATAACATCTACTGCAAAAAAAACATTTATCCAATCTAAACATCAAAATAATTACAAAAATAATTTAATTATTAATCTGCATAAAAATAAATACAATATAAAACGCAACGGTGAAACGCGTTGTTTAAAAGCTTTTATCCACGCTGTCGGCTTATCTCTATAATAGTAAACTAAAATGATAATCATTCTTTGGCCAATAAAATCATCAAACACATCATATTAACCGATCTGTAGGAAGAGTCAATTCATTGCAAAATGAAGAAGCGACAACATTGTCGAAACCAGGCATCAGTCTTAATTTGTGAAACTTGTCTATCAGCCAAGGTGTGAATTACAAAATTTAGCCAACAATATCAAGACAATACAAAAAATTTAATATCTGGAAAGTCTTTTAAGAGACGACAAAAAGTCAGAGTTCGAAATCTGTATTGGAATAACGAAAGATGTTTTCCAAAAGCTGAGTAAAGTATAAAGAAACAGGAACATTTCATTAGAAACAAAGAAAGAAAAACTGAACTGTTACGTAACATTGACTCCTCAAATATGACAGAAATATTTTTCTTTATCATATATATATATATATATTATTATGCAAACCGAACCATTGCCATGTGGAAACCAATAGGAATTTTTCCCTTATCATTACAATCTAATCTTGTCTAAGGCTAGGGTTAACGGTTATCTTCCACTCCTATATACACAAATGGCCTCCAAACTTAACCCGAGTAGCCAACGAGCCTTATACAATCTCCCTTCTCTCTCCATATGTGGTCAGCCACACCTGATTTTTCCACTTCCCCACGTGTTACAGCTTTCTGGTGTTCTTGAAGCCTTACCTTAAGGGGGCGGCCTGTCTCTCCTTTATATTTCTTTCTGCAGCTGCACGGGATAGCGTACACACAGTCTTTAGTCATTTTCGCTTCTAGGGAAGTTCTTACTCGGGAGAGATATCTGCAAAGTGTCGTCAAGCTTTTGAAGGTTGTCCTGATGTTATATGGACCGCAGATTCTTTGAATTTTCTCTGATAACCTCTTCGCATAAGGCAGGCAGACTGTTTTCTGAATGTTGTCGTCCTCCTCGACATTCCAACCACCCGAAGAAGGCCGTAGCGTACAACGGCCGAAACGTTGTAATAAATATGGCGACAAAGATGAATACAATAGTCCGAATAATGTAAATAATATACATAATGCCTCATCTCAGAAATATAGAAAGATTTTTTATTGCTGGTAATATTTTTTTTAAAAAATGTATTTCTGGTAATATTTTTCCTTCAAAGATGTGTTGCTAATATATTTTTTCCTCAAAATTAAGTATTAATGTGTTGTTATATAGGAATAAAGTGTCGCTGCCGACACTTAAGTTTGAACATAGATCGCCATTGAGCAAACACAGGCGATCCCATTATTGAATTAAATAGATCACGTGACCATGGGAGAAACGCATATATGTAGGAAGTAGCTGAATACTAACATCGCTCTATTTTAATCTATCCTCTATACTATTCGGATCGCTATTTCTAGTCTATCCTCTATTACTATACGGTCCGCTATTCTCTACTCCATTTACTATACTGTTTCTCTATTCAGATCACTATACAGGTTACATGTCGAGCGACCAGCATTCTTCAACGGAGTTACTATAGTTGTATCTGCGATTACAAAGTCTCTACTACAACGAACATTATAAAAGTAACAACGAGTATTCGTTGACATTAGAAAAGTTTCAAACGAGTGTTAATTGACATCATAAAATAATTTATTGCTGCTAATGTATTGCTGGTGATAATATTTCTAGTTTTACACATTCATAGTGTTTTGACCCCAGTTTGGGGGTTAACTATTTGCCCATACCTGGGACCCTAACAGGTGCTTCCACCCCCGGTCATAGTGGGTCTGTGAACACCAGCAATTATGAGGTGATTACACGCTCCTCAAAGAAAACAGGTTAGAGGACTTGAAGTTGGATGCAATTTATGGTCTTAACCAGGACGCGGATGTAGTTTTTCGTCTTACCTTGGAGGCCTCATTTGGGGTGGGGGTCGGTTTTATCGTCTGCTGGAGCTCCGGCTGATAGGACACTAGGAATTTTATGGATGTTTAATGCATTGGATTGGCATTACTAATTCTGTATTTAAGCGTACCATTTCTCTTTTTATGAAAGAGGGCGTATTTTTTCGAAATTGTAGGAAATGCATTTCGAGCCGTAATATTTGTTTTGCTTATCTTTGATTATTTCTTCAGTATCGTCGAATTCTATTTGCGTATAAATGAATACAAAGAATTCGACTGGGAATCGAACCTGTTTTGTTGATTTCTCATTTCGAGCTTCTATCCATCATACCTCCCGCACATCGAAACTTACAGCACCTGGGTTTCCTATGTAGGTACTAATGTTTAACATCACGAATCCAACGAGATGCGGTGTTTCAACATGATTTGGACGTAAGCCAGATATATATAAAAGGTGTTTCATTAAGACAGATTATATATAAGGGTGTTTCATTAAGACGGATCAAAGTCAGCAGTAAATAAATCAGTGTTATTGGTGAAAATTTATTTATTTCTCTATTAGATCATATTATTTAAGTCATGGCAATTATGCGTGAAAAATAATATCGCCCAAATGTACGCCAAGGTTTCCGCAGAACACCTGCACTCGATGGATAAAATTTTGATGACGTCACTGCGTAGTTGCTTCTCGATTTCACCAATATGCCTTATTATCTCATCCTTCAGCTGTTGAATAGTTGTTGGCTTGTTGGCATAGAACTTACTTTTGAGATGACCCCCAAAGGAAGAAATCTAAAGGCGTCAAGTCGCACGATCGTGGTGGCCAATTGGCCTCGCCGTTTCGAGACATGATACGACCTGAGAACTTCTAATTGCATTTCTGTTTGAACGTCCATTTTCGTAATGGGCTTCGATAACTTTAACACGTTATTTGATTGTTTAAACGTTCTATGGCTGAAATTGCCAAACCGCTTAGTTGTCAAATCGGAAAGGTAAAAAATCATTAGACGTTTAAAATTAATTCACATTTAAAATCGGTCCAAGTTATTGGAACACCCTTTATAACTAAATATGACACCTTCATCAAGGAGCAACTGAAAACGTTTAAAAATATTAAGCTGTCCTAAGAATTGAAACCATCTCGGGTTTTTTTTTCCAAAATTGAAGCACAGACTGATTCCTGGTGTAACTATAGACTTTGGCTTCTTATGTGGCATTGAATTCTCTCTTCCTGTTGTTCAGTTAGTAAAATGAGCTTAATGACTGCTACAACTTAAAGGTGTAATATTTTCATATTTAAAGAGCAAAAGTAGTTTATTAGCCATGGAATCAACACCAGAATATTCTACAAAATATCGTGAGAAATGGAAATACCTTGTTCTAATCAATAAAACGTTTTAATGGTCGGGAGTTCAGCGCAAAAGCAGGCGTCAGTGATTCGCGTCTTATGCACGGAATAAGTGCTGTCCCCTATTGCAAAGACGTAAAACTAGAATACATCACCAAAAAGAGAAGGAGGAGAAATCTGATCTCTCAAAACAAACAAGACCAGTCAAAGATCTGATGAGGGCGTAACGCGCTCATTTGACTGTGACTTCCCATTCATGTTCAAATAATGATTCCCCGGCAAAGAACGACGTCTCTCCAGTATCGGATTATCAAGATAATGAGACGCTAGCGAAATACTCGTCTCAGCCGGAAGCAAGCTGAGCGCATGCTCAATCATGATTCTGAAGAGTCAGACAGAGAGTAGGTGACATTGTAAGCGATTATTTGTGAATTCGACAACCGCTAATTTTGCTATGTGGGAGTCGCAAGCTTATCGCTATTTCCATGGCAAATATCCTGACGAAGCACATCTCTTAGTTCCACCAATTCAGACATTCAAAGCTAAGATCTACCATAAAAGAAATTATCGCCATTTTGTTTTTTTTTCGGATTTCAGTAAGAAGAAGGAAGTTAAAATCGAACAATTTTTTTTTTACCAAGAATCGCTAGTTTGTGGAACAGAAACTTGAGAGGATGCTTGCCTCATCGTTACAATCTTAACAACAAGTCTAAGGTCAGCCGTTCTCTTTTTTGCATATCTTTCGAAGTTGAACTTATTAACTCCTCCTCTTACGTTAATACAACAAACTCATTAAGTAACCGTCTACATTGAGTGGCTCTTGAACCTTATATTGAGATGAGTTAATGAAAAAATAGATTTTTCAAACGATCGTTGTAATCTGGACCTATATATAGAAGAAGGTGATAAATGATTTTAACGTAGTCTTTGTTTTATGACCAACAGTAAAATCTGCGAAATTGGATCTGCAAAGCAACCATCTTTCTTCTTTGTACAGTGTCCCTTCAGGACATTACGAGCATGGCTCTCTACAATCTCGTTTCATTTGTAGCTCTTAGCAAATTTTGTCTTTTTTTTTATCTCTCCTATATCCTGTTCTGTCAAACATTTACATAAGCTTTTAGGTAAGTTGTGCTCTTTCCTGCTGTGCCTGTCATCGTCCTGGGTATGACGATAAACTACATCCCACAGCAAGGCCTCTGATCAGGGGCTTTTGAGAATAATGGAACCACCTCTCAATTGCTGATGACCCAGGGTGGTAGCACCTGTTAGGGTCCCAGCTATAGGCAAATAGTTAACACCCAAACTGGGGTCAAAACACTATGAAAGTATAAAAATACGTTTTAATATCAGCAATACATTTTTGTAAAAAATATTACCAGCAATACATTTTTGAAGAAAAAAAATACCAGCAATATATCTTTGGGAAAAAAATATTTGCAGTAATACAATTATGAAAAAAAATATTACCAGCATTAAAATTTTGTCGGTATTAAATAAGACATTATGATTGATATGCCGTAAAATAAAGCAAACCAAACCGAACCAAAGCCAATTGTCTTCAAAATGCCCTGTGAGGATCAATTTTACCAGGCACCTAATCTTCATTATGTACCTCAGAAAAAAAAAATGCTTTGATGGGCAGCACGTTTTATAATAAAAGATTTCGTCCAAAACATTTTCGCATTAAAAGATTCAAAAAATAAAATTTCGTCTCAAATATTTTCGCATGAAAATTTAATTAAATGATATCAAAGAGCGGCCTGATAAGTGAAAATAATGTTTAAAATGTCATTGTACTTTATTTCAAAGAATAAAATTGCAAAAAAAAGAAAAAAAATTACGAGACAGTCTAATTATTATCAGCAGTGTGCAAATAATTTTTTCTCGTGACTCAAATCAGGTTCTAATTATACTTTGGCGGGCAAAGTAAATGTATAGCCTAGGTAAAAAAAAAATAAATAAATACATGTGCTTAATTTTTACAAAGGAGCTGTAAGTATCTGACAGTGTGTATTCAGGGATAGGATTTGTGGTCTATTATAATTGTCATGTAAGTTTTCGTATTTACGTAAACCACTTATGAGGAAAAAGGCATCATGATGAAAATAAGATATAGAAACGTTATTTATCTCATCTACTTCTGGGTCCATGTGAATTGCTACAACTCAACAACAAGTTTTCTTTGTCCGTTCCATTCAATAAAGCAAGTATATATATATATATTTAAATATAAGGATTATATATATATATATATATATATATATATAGAGAGAGAGAGAGAGAGAGAGAGATAACTATACTCCTTTCGAAAAACCCTCGAATTTTTGATTTGCCAATAATCAAATCAATCTCAAGGGAAAAAAGGTTTAAAAAGAAAGAAAGAGCTATAAACATGAAAGTATATCGAAAAAAATCGCACAGATGCAGGTTTGAATCCCAAAGAAAATCCCCGATACGAGTAAACAACTAAGAAAAGAGCTCAATACAACCATAGAGCAGACCTAGATATACCTAGTGAGCCAGACAAACCTACCTAGGTTTTACGTAAACGGATCGTCAGGAAAGCCGACTTTCCCTGACGATCCGTTTAGGTGAAACCCAGGTAGGTTTGTCTGGCTCACTAGGTCTATCTATCTATCTATCTATCTATCTATCTATCTATCTATCTATCTCTCTCTCTCTCTCTCTCTATATATATATATATATATATATATATATATATATATATATATATATATATATGGGGTGTCCATAAAGTTCGTGTGCACTTTTAACTTATAACTTTATTTGTATTTGCGATAGGAATAATTTGTAAAAAGGCTTAGTAAGAAGGAAATCTATATTTTTTAAGGTTTAAGTGTAGGGAGATGAATGAAGAGATAATCGTTGCCATCATTAGTGATCACTCCAAACACTTTCGTAATCACCATTAGACTCATCCAACTCTCTGGATCCTCTACACTTTTCCTCAGATTGACACCCAATCTATCTGAAATATTTGTATTGGAGCTTTTGAAACGAATGCCAAACAGTACGGTATGCCGTTTCCAAATTTCTAGCTGAGGGAATTGTGTCATGGGGATCTTTTTCTTATAGACGGTGCCCAACTGACCCGACTATACTGTGCAGACGACAAAATCAGAAAACAACAGATTCTTGTTCGAATCTCACCTTGGTCGATTTTTCAGGTAGGTAACTTCTTAATGTTATCGGTCTGGATAAATGTGCCTGAAAACCATACCATGTCTTGATCCATGCCTTGTCATTGAAATTATGTAGACAGAACTCTTTTGGGGAAGCCGTCGATGGTTGTGCTAAAACAGAGTCATAAGTGTTGGCCTTGTTCAGACTGTTGATCTCGCTAGATAAAGTGCTCTGCTACTAAGGCCTTCTCAGAATAGTTGCAGTATAAACCGCAATGAGGGTGTGGACCAAACAAAAAAATATGCCTAAGCAAACGACTGCAACTGACTTTGTCTAGCCGCCATAGTAGACGGGGATCTTTGGATACGAGTGGCCAACCATTTATATAAATATTTTTTTTTCGGGGTAATATCCTAAAATAAATAATATTGCTTTACTTTGTATTGAGCCCTTTTTTAAATTAAATGTTACAAACGTTATAATTATACTATATTCGTTCTCATCTTATCTGTACGTATGTATGTATATATATATATATATATATATATATATATATGAAAAATTTATGTATATGAATATAAATAAATATATATATATATTCGTTATATATATATAATTATTTATATATTATATGCGCGGTACTTATTAGAAAGCGCTCAATATCAGAGATAGAGCTAACATATTTGGTTGGATTGATGTGAGTTTGTGACCCTGGGTTTGCACGCTTTTGCGATTGTCAGACAAACTGATTAATTTTTTTAAAAAATTTGGGTTTATGTAGATTGCATGTATTGGTGTTATTATGGGAGTGGGGGGAATCGTCGTCGTGATGTCATCGTGCTAACGCAAACATAGATGCATATCTGTACATCAGATGAGGTACGCACACATACACACTTGCTTGTCCGTCGGGACTCATACATATATAAACATATGTGGACAGTATATATATATATATATATATACTGGGTGTAACAGCAAAATTGGACAAATCGTGTAACAACAAATGTTGTTTAATACTACTTTTTATAAACAGAGCATTTATTTAAATATTTGTATCTATAAAAATAACGTATAAACAATATATATATATATATATATATATAAAATATATATTCTGTTTCTATTTATATATATATATATATATATATATATATATATATATATATATATATATATATATATATATATATATAAAGGTAAAAAACATGAAGACTACAGACAAAATTCATTTTTTCCAGCAAGACATTCATTTCTGTAGTTTACTGCTACCAGCAAGCAGAAATATTTCTCCTCCCGATGATAGCCATGTTGGCCGAAACTAGTCGAGGAATCTAAATGAAATAATAATAATAATAAAACGAAAGTATATTAATCTACAACCCAGTGTGTCTAAAGATTTTATTTTTTAAATATTTTTTATTGTTCAATATCTATCTATCTATCTATCTATCTATATATATATATATATATATATATATATATATATATATATATATATATATATATATAGTTTATACGTTATTTTTATAGATACCAACCGTGCGTGAGATAGATATTATGCCTGCTTCATAAATCCGCCTAAGATTTTTATGATGAAAATATTTAAAAATTTTCACAGAATCAAAATCGAAATTATGATTAATTAATTATGATTAATGCTCGACAAACGTACATATAAGTTTTAGATCAAAATAAAATTCTTTTCGTTTTTCATTCAAAATACTAAAATTTTAGGAATACGTTTTTACAACATCGCCCACGTGACGACGACGTGATCATATTTAAACTGAACGCTGATCTTATAAAAGATTTCAGTTATCTGTTTGGATTGGTATTGCTTTTATATCCATCGTCTTTTTCTTGTTGAATTGTGTATGGTCTATGTTTATTATGTTTTATGAATATGTCCTGAAGATGGTCGATTAGACCGAAACGTCCGACGTTGACATTAAACATTAAAACAGCATAATCGCATATTAGGATTTTCTTTGTTTTTTCAGTATATTTTTCTTCATATATATATATATATATATATATACAGGTAAGATTAGAACGAATAGAATAGAATTACAACGTGCGTAACATTTAATTTTAAAGGAGGGCTCAATACAAAGTAGTGCAATATTATCTACTTTGGGATATTACTCCGTAAAATACATATATATATATATATATATGAAAATTTCTCCGATTTAATCGGTAGAGAAGACAATATTTATGAATAAAAATGACAATAGGAAAACTGGTAATTGCTGACGCGTTTCGTCCAATGTGGACTTTATCAAAGCAAAATACGAAAATGAAATTAAATGAACAAAGTAACTAATAAAAACAAAAACAGAATGTACCTAGCAACTGGAATGTAGAGAAACGCTATTTTCATATTTTTTAACTGAAAAATAAAGTCAGAGATTGTCACGTGTGGAGAATATTGTCATTATATCTGTGTTGATGTATTAAACCATTTTCTCTCGATTTTATGAATCTGTTGTGCATATTTGTTTGTAAGAGAATTAATTTTGTTAAGAAAGGTGAAATAGGGAAAAAGTCTGGGCATAAATTAATATTTGGATAATTTTCAATGGCGGCACTCTCCAGAATTTTCCTTCTGAGTGAGTTATTTTCTTTTTTTATGAGTGTAGCATTTTTAAAATCAAAATTATGGTTGTATTTATTTCTATGTATGACTATTGCATTAGCTAAGTTTTTTTTTTGTGATGTCTCTTTTGTGCTCATAAATGCGTTTTTTCAAACTTCTACTTGTTTCTCCAATATATTGGGAGGAACAGTTTTGGCAATTTATTTTATAAATGCCTGCTTCAGAAATATTAGTGCTATTATTGTTTGAAGATCTTAGTATATCTATAATGGTTTTGGAAGTGTTTGTGACTATTTCATAGAAAATATACAAACGAAACAAAACTAATAACATAATCATTTAATTTCATTTTCGTATATTGCTTTGATAAAGTCCACATTGGACGAAACGCGTCAAGCAATTACCAGTTTTCTTATTGTCATTTTTATTCATATATATATATATATATATATATATATATATATATATATATATAGGGCCGAGCAACGGAAAGTAATCAGCTAGGTACAAATAAAATCAGTTTGCTTGATATTTTTACTAAGAAGCTTTTAAATATTCGACAATGTTCTTCCCAAATGATATATATATATATATATATATATATATATATATATATATATATATATATATATATATATATATTCATTCATCACTGTAAGACAAATTGTCTTAATCCCGGGAAAAGCGCGCGAAAGAAAATTCAAAACTGAACGTTGTCGTCATATTGAAAATAATAAATATTTTAAAATGAATCACATGGATATTTGGGACTTGGTGGCTGATTTTTGCTGACTCCATTTTTTTTTTCAGTTTTCTGATGAATCATAATTAATAATGTGATTATTGAATAAGCCTCCTGTCCATTTCTACGACAATAATATGCACGTGGAAATTCCACTATCGTAATGTTAAATAATTGAGATGAACCACTTTTAAGAAAATGTTTAATTGAAAATCAAACTCATAAACGCAAGTCATTATTTAACAAAAGAACGAAAAGATTTCAAATTGCCAAGGCTTCTCATTCTCTGAAGCCGATATTTAATATTCGAGAATTTTCTCTATCTTCATTTCTTTTCTCCTTTCCTTTCTTTTCTCCTTTCTCCTTTCTTTCCTTTTCTCCATTCTTCTTTCATTTTTTTTCTCGTTTTTTCTTTGGTTTAATCACTTTCTTCTTTTCTTTTCTACTTTCTTCTTTTTCATTTCTACTTTCTCCTTTTCTTTCATTTCTCCTTTCTTCTTTCCTTTCCTTTCTTCTTTCTTTTTCCTTTCGTTACACCTTTCTTCTTTCCTTTCCTTTCTTCTTTCTTCTTCGTTTCGTTTCTCATTTCTTCTTTCCTTTCGTTTCTCATTTCGTCTTCCTTTCTTTCTCCTTTCTTCTTTCCTTTCCTTTCTTTTTTCTTCTCCATTTCGTTTCTCATTTCTTCTTTCCTTTCCTTTCTCCTTTCTTCTTCTTTCATTTCTCATTTTGTCTTTCCTTTCTTTTCTCCTTTCTTCTTTTCTTTAGTTTCTCCTTTCTTCTTTCCTTTCTTTTCGTCTTTCTTTTTCCTTTCGTTTCTTTTTCTTCATTCATTTCCTTTCTCCATTATTCTTCCTTTCGTTTCTCCTTTCTTCTTTCCTTTCCTTTCTCCATTCCTCTTCCCTTTCGTTTCTCCTTTCTTCTTTCGTTTCGTTTCTCATTTCGTCTTTCCTTTCGTTTCTCCTTTCTTCCTTCGTTTCGTTTCTCCTTTCTTCTTTCCATTCGTTTCTCATTTCTTCTTTACTTTCTTTTCTCCTTTTGTCGTTCCTTTCGTTTCTTATTTCTTCTTTCATTTCGTTTCTCCTTCTTTCTTTACTTTTTGTCTCCTTTTTTCTTTTCTTTTCTCCTTTCTTCTTTCCTTCCGTTTCTCCATTTTTCTTTCCTTTCCTTCCCTCTTTTTTCTTTCCTTTCGTTTCTCCTTTCTTCTTCATTTCCTATCTCCTTTCTTCTTCCTTTCGTTTCTCCTTTCTTCTTCCTTTCCTTTCTAATTTCTCCTTCCTTTCGTTTCTCCATCCTTTCGTTTCTCCTTTCTTCTTCCTTTCCTTTCCTTTCTCTTTCCTTTCCTTCTTCCTTTTTTCTTTTCTTCTTCCTTTTCCTTTCTTCTTCCTTTCCTTTCTCCTTTCTTCTTCCTTTCGTTTCTCCTTTCTTCTTTCCTTTCGTTTCTCCTTTTCTTTCGTTTTCCTTTTTCTTCCTTTCCTTTCTAATTTTTCCTTTCGTTTTTCCTTCCTTTCGTTTCTCCTTTCTTTTCCTTTTTTCTTCTTTCTCCTTCCTTTCTTTCTCCTTTCTTCTTCCTTTCGTTTCTCCTTTCTTCTTTCCTTTCGTTTCTTCTTTCTTCTTCCTTTCCTTTCTCCTTTCTTCTTCCTTTCGTTTCTCCTTTCTTCTTTCCTTCTTTTTTTTTTCTTCCTTTCTTTCTTCTTTCTTCTTCCTCTCTTTCTCTTTCTTTTTCTTTTCCTTTCTCCTTTCTTCTTCATTTTTTTTCTTTTTCCTTTTTTTTTCTTCCTCCTTTCTCCTTTCTTCTTCCTTTCCTTTCTCCATTCTTCTTCATTTCCTATCTCCTTTCTTCTTCCTTTCGTTTCTCCTTTCTTCTTTCCTTTCGTTTCTCCTTTCTTCTTCTTTCTTCTTCCTTCCCTCTCCATTCTTCTTCATTTCCTTTCTCCTTTCTTCTTCCTTTCTTTTCTCCTTTCTTTTTTCCTTTCTTCTTTCCTTTCGTTTCTCCTTTCTTCTTCCTTTCCTTTCTCCTTTCTTCTTTCCTTTCGTTTCTCCTTTCTTCTTCCTTTCCTTTCTCCTTTCTTCTTCCTTTCGTTTCTCCTTTCTTCTTTCCTTTCGTTTCTCCTTTCTTCTTCCTTTCTTTTTCTTCTTCCTTTCTTTCTTTCTTTCTTTTCCTTTCTCCTTTCTTCTTCCTTTCTTTCCCTCCTTTTTTCTTTCCTTTCTTTTCTCATTTCTTCTTTCTTCCTTTTTCCTTTTTTCTTTCCTTTCTTTTCTCCTTTCTTCTTTCCTTTCGTTTCTCCTTTCTTCTTTCCTTTCGTGTCTCCTTTCTTCTTCCTTTAATTTCTCCATTCTTCTTCCTTTCGTTTCTGTTTTCTTCTTTCTTTTCATTTCTCCTTTCTTCTCCCTTTCCTTTCTCCTTTCTTCTTTCTTTCGTTTTTCCTTTCTTCTTTCCTTTCGTTTCTTCTTTCTTCTTCCTTTCCTTTCTCCTTTCTTCTTTCTTTCGTTTCTCCTTTCTTCCTTCCTTTCGTTTCTTCTTTCTTCTTCCTTCCTTTCCTCCTTTTTTCTTTCCTTTCGTTTCTCCTTTCTTCTTCCTTTCCTTTCTCCTTTCTTCTTTCTTTCGTTTCTCCTTTCTTTTTTCCTTTCGTTTCTTCTTTCTTCTTCATTTCCTATCTCCTTTCTTCTTCCTTTCCTTTCTCCTTTCTTATTTCCTTTCGTTTCTCCTTTCTTCTTTCTTTCCTTTCTCCTTTCTTCTTCCTTTCGTTTCTCCTTTCTTATTTCCTTTCGTTTCTCCTTTCTTCTTCCTTTCCTTTCTCCTTTCTTCTTTCCTTTCTTTCCTCCTTTCTTCTTTCCTTTCTTTTCTCCTTTCTTCTTTCCTTTCTTTTCTCCTTTCTTCTTTCCTTTCTTTTCTCCTTTCTTCTTTTCTTTCGTTTCTCTTTTCTTTGTTCCTTCCTTTTTATCTCCTTTCTTCTTTTCTTTTCTCCTTTCTTCTTTCCTTTCTCTTTCCTTTCTCTTCTTCTTTGCTTTCTCTTCTTTTTCCTTCTTTCATTTCTTTTCTCTTTTTCTTCCTTTTTTCTCCTTTCTTCCTCCTTTCATTTTCTCTTTCTTCTTTTATTTCTCCTTTATCCATTTATTTCTTTTTTATGGATGCTTTCTTTTTCTCAGGAGTAGAGGCTCACATCTTGTTTCTTGTTTAGGAAGAGGTTCCCGGAACTCTCCCTCTGTTTCTCTTTGGCCTCTGTACTAGTGCTGCTGTGTTTCTCCCCTGATGTGTGCAGTCTGTGGCATTACCTCTTCATTCTGAGGGTACACGGTTGACAGTTTTCTGGTAGTTAGGAGCCCTAACACTTGCGTAGCGTCTTGAGCCGCCACTTCGATCAACAGTTGAATAATACCGGGGTGTCTGTAGTGCCATGTCGCGCATGGAAAGGTGTCCCTGCATTCAATTCCGGTGGGCAAACCTGAGGCGACATTATGTTACAGGCTGTGCCAACTTCTCTCTGTCCACCTCACGGTTGAAAACCGTCTGCTTCTTTTACTTCAGGCCTCATTTTTACAACCACAATTTCAGATGATAACTAACGACGATCAGAAAATGAAACCTAAACAAGGCTTTAAAAACCCTTTCACATTTCTTTTTCCAATATCCGTAGCCTCAGAACCAATTTCTGCAGTGTGGAATCTTTCCTCATAGCGAACTGCCCGGATATACTGGCTCTGTGTGAGACCAACCTTGATTCATCTAACCCCTCCTCTGACCCTCTTGATCCCCGGCTACCTTCCCTCCTTAGAAAAGACTCTCAAACCCACATGCATGGCCTTGGAGTTTACGTCAAGGACCATCTCCTGCTGGCTAGAGAGTTGTCTCTTGAATCTCCAGACCATTCATACATGTGTCTCCGGCTATCTCTTCTCAATGTTACCTCTTTTTCCTTTATCGCTCACCATCCTCCCAAGACTGTGGTATAATGAATGCATTTCTGACAGCATTGACAAGGCTCTCTCTCTCTCCATCTCATACATATTCGTGTTTGGTGATGTGGCCCATCATAAAACAATAACGCTACTACTGACCCTGCAGGCATTCAAACCCTTCATTTTTCAATTTCTCAATCCCTCATGCAGTCGACTTCCCCCCTACGTCTCCCCTACAACCGGGCCGGTAAGGCTTCTCTTCTCGATTTATGTTTTATCTCCATCCCCGAGTCCTGTAGCGCCACGCAGCTTTGCCCTTTTGGCATCTGATCATGCTATAGTGTCTGTCAACATCTCCTTCAACTCCACCCCCTGCAAAGAACCTCCTACTACTAGAACTACGTTCTTCTATCAATGAGCAGACTGGGACTCGTTCCAGGATTTCCTTCGCGATGTTCCCTGGGATGCTGTCTTTACGCTCCCGTTCAAAAATGTGCTTCCGAGGTTTCCTCCTGGGTTAAAGCTGGTATCGAGGCATTCATACCCTCAAGGTCAAATCGCGCTCCTCCCCTTGGTTTTCCGCTGCGTTCTCAACTGCCATTGCCCATAGGAACCAATTCTTCCCCCTCTATCGAATTGACATACTTGACTGCAATAGACGTTTCTTTGTCTCTCCCCGAAATGAGTGTAAGCGTGTCCTCAATGAAGCTAAGTCACTATTTGCTGGTGGAATGAAGGAACGCATTGCATCTCGCAAATGTGGCTCCAATGATTATTGGCGTCTCTGCAAGAGCGTACTTAACAACAGCAAACCCTCTATACTTCCTTTGTTCAACCAGTTCGAGTTTTTGATCTCTTTTGTTGACAAGGCTGAATGCTTAACTCTTCCGATTTACCCCCTTAGAACTGGGGCTCTATTGAGCGAGCTGCACATAACCCCGTCATGACCGCCATCGGTATTGGGAATTATCTCTAATTTAGACCCCCACAAGGCTAGTGGTGGTGATGGGATACCAGCCATTTTCCTGAAGAAATGTGCGCCTGAACTTGTCCCTTCCCTCTCCAAATTATATAACTACTGCCTCAATGAATCTTGTTTTCCAGATTGTTGGAAGTCCTCATCCATTGTTTCTGTTTTTAAGAACTCTGGTGACCCTTCTGTCCCTTCTAATTACCGCCCTATCAGTCTCCTACCCCTCTTCGGCAAAGTCGCCGAAGTCGTTAAGCACCTTACGTCCCATGATCTGCTCTCCGACAAGCAATATGGTTTTCGATTTGCCAGTTCTACAGCTGATGTGCTTCACTGAAATTGTTTACCAAGACCTTCATAATAACGGAGAAGCTCGTGCCGTGGCTCTAGATATCTCCAAAGCGTTTGATAGGGTTTGGCATGCCGGCCATCTTCGGAAGCTTCAGGGTTATGGAATTCAGGTCGATTGTTCGACTTAATACAATCATTCCTGTCAAACCGTGTATTGAAGGTCGTTCTCAACGGATTCTCCTCCAGCTCCTATCCCACGAACGCTGGTGTTCCCCAAGGCTCCATCCTAGGCCCTACTCTGTTCCTTATCTTCATCAACGATCTTCCTGACGTCATAGATTCCCAAGTAGGCGTCTACGCTGACGACACTACAATTTACTCCTGCCTCAAAAACAAATCTAGTGTCGTTGACAAAACTAACCTGTCCGTTCATCTCGAAGATGACCTCCAATCCGTCGTGAACTGGGGTAGGAATTGGCTGGTTAACTTTAACGCCTAAAAACAAAACTGATCTCTATTACTCATCACAGAGAACTATCCCTGCTCTCCATTAGAATGTCTGACGCTCAACTTCTCGAGAGTTCCTCTTTGCGACTACTCGGTCTCACATTGTCTGCTGACCTGAGATGGAATAAATACATTCAGTTAATAGTTTCGTCCACCTCAAGGAAAGTTGGCTCCCTCTGCTGCGCCAGGACATTTTTCTCGCCGAAGTCGATCCTTCAAATCTACAAATCAACCATTCGCTCTTGCAATTAATGCCATATATGATCCGGTGCCCCTTCTGTTTGTTCAAAGGTTCTTGATAAGATCCAGAGACGGATATTCAAGTAATTGACCCTGATCTGGCATCTCGTCTGCATCGCTCTCTCAGACATCCGTCGCCTCCTCTGTCTTTTTTACTTTGCTTTCACGGTAACTGCTCCGATGAGCTGCTTTCATTGGTTCCCAGACTTAGTGAATTTTTGCGTTCTAATAGGCTGGCATCTAAAAAAATCACCCTTTCACTGTCGAAACTGTTAAATGTAGCCGTCTAAACTCCAATAGCTTCATGTTCGGACATTGTGGAATCCCTTCTTCCTGTTTCCCAGATAGCTATAATTTCCAACTATTATAAAGTGTAATGTCAATCGACGTCTCCAGATGCCTTGATCTTATCTTTAATCCTTTCTTCGTCCTTTCCTTTATCATCCTATTTGCTCTGCTGCAATTTTCTGTAACCCTTATAGTGCTAGTGTCTTTGCATTGCTTGGGTGAGACGCTTAAAACACAAAAAAAACAAAAAAAAAACACTCCAGTGGTTTAAAGACATATTCACCTGCCAATTCACATTAGGATGCGGCAAAATGCCAAATTAAAATGTGGGTTATTCCGAACCGGGAAAACATTCATATTCCACTTGCAATCGGGATCTGGTATCTGTCTTCATCCATTGATGAGAACCTACCCTTCGGCATTGACTCGTCCGGGTTCCCCTCTTCACGAAGGCAGAGAGTTCGAGACGGCAAGAGCTTCCCAGGCTGACAGCTCACGCTGCCAGCTTCGGCAGCATTTTGCTCTTTCTTACAAGAGTGTCCATGTATTTATAAAGATAGGGACATATCCATTAGTGTTCATAGATATAGTATATAACAAGTTTCAAAAGCAACGAGACATGAAAGAGATTTAAAAGTACATTCATCAATTCTAAAGCGACATCAGTCAGTTAAGGGACATACGTGATACACGCTTGGGCGATCATGCATCTGATACATGACTGACGAGGAAGATTTTTTTCCCGCAGTAGGTAGTCATTTCTTTCTGTAGACTGGTTACTAACCAAGGCTAAAGAACCCGATCTGTCCTGCTATTCAACCCAGAAGATAATGGATTCATATTTTTTCTCAATGGTAAGTGAATCCAACAAACTCGATTGGAATTCGAACGCGGCTCTCCGAGTTCTCACTCATCAGGCTTTAGCGCCTTTTCTTGAAATGTCTCACTAACTACGAGACATCACTCAGCTGACTGGTTTCGCGAAGGACCCTCTGGATCGGCAAGAAACATATTTCGGCGGGTATGGATAATTCTCCTGATGAGTCGGTGGAGACCTGGATTTAGCATTCTTCCATAACAGGATCATAGGCCCGTTGTGCAAATTTACTGAAGACATCATGATTTGTATGCTTCGCGGAAAGTTCTTTGTCCTTGAGGCGAGTTCTGTTTGTAGTAATGACGTATCACCGCTGACTAAGACTGGGAACTATGTTTTCATTTGATCGCTAGGCGTTATTTCTCCACAACGCACATCCATCGACATATTAACCTCTCAAAAAATGAAGTTTGTGGACTTGAGATTTTTAATGAATGGAACGACATTGGTATTGCCGGATTTATCTGCACATTCGTGAGGTATGAGAAAAGCAGTTAAATTAACTGCAGAGGATTCAAAAATTGTATACGGACAAGAAGAAATGTACAAGCATGTTATTACTAAATCATTGTACGACCAAATAAGGCCTTTATTTACTTCAAATGAATCATATGAAGTAAATATTATGATGTAATATCGTACAAAGTACAGTAGTTTTAGTAAGATATTAAAAAAATAAAGCAAATTTAGAAAAAAAAATGTCTTATAATCTGTCCCCAGCAGTATTACGGTGTTATATACATTTTTAAAACTATTGTTGTTTTTATTATAACTTAATTGTTAGCAAGCTTATCGCACTGAAAATTAGTTACGAGTGAGTAGCAAGTTCGATCCTCACTGGGTTCCCCATAATTTGGGCGTTGTGCCACATCTAAGCTACGCTTAAAAAGACTATTTCAGTATGCTTGGGCGTCCGGGTTAAAATGCCTCGCTAACGACGATTTCACGCTTTTTAACTGGTGTTTAAAAGGGCCAACTGGAATCAAAGAAACTTAATTCATATAGGGATGGGTAATTCTCCAGGTAAGTCATTGTCCTCAAGACCAGTAATGTCGTATCACCGTTGACTAAGGCTAAACACTATGTGCTCTTTTGCTTACTAGGCGAGTCGTGATATGGACGACGCGACAGATGGAATTCCATGAATAAAAAGAATCTTCCCAACTTGTTACGTCAATTGAAAGTCAAGAAAAGGCGTCGATTCCTTCCATCAGAATTTGGCAAAAGTTGGGTGTGTCTTGCGCGTTTGTGTCTAACAGGTTCTACCACCCTGGGTCAGATTTTTTGGAAACACCATCTTTTAAAAATGGTTCCATTAATATAAAAATAATAATTTATATGCTGCTGGAAAAAGTTTTGCTATTTTTTACCCAGGGCACCGTAGCTGAGAGGAGATGAGACGGATTCATACATTTCTAAAAGGTATAAGGGCGGAAGTGAATGCAATGAACCCAACTGGATTTACAAAACGGTTCTGAGATTTTCTCAAACTTACACGACACATATAGAGTAATTGCTATATTAATTCCAATTCAGCCTTCTTGTCTAGCTTATTTCACAAAGTTCTATCATCTTTTCAAGAGAAGAAAGTTGGGATCCAGGTGTTTTATTACACATTTATTTTATCCTCGCCCCACCCAAAAATAAAAAAAATGAGCCCTGGTGCGCCAATTTTGTACTGCGCTTAAATTGATAATGCTCGTCTCCAAATTAGCGAACATAATTTGCAGGTAATTCAAAACATTACTCAGAGTTAAGTAGGTACTGACACGCTACACCTTTTTTTTTATTTTTACAAATTTGTTTTGCTTGGCCTGGCAAAAGCATAAGGGAAATAAAAAGGGACTGACTTTTGAAGTAGGCTGTCTTCCATTTATATCCGGGCGTTGTCAATGAAACAAGCGGAAGTGACGTCAATTGAACGACCAATCTTGTCTGCCTACTTTGCTTATTGCACTACACATTGTCAGTCGGGGTTGATTAAGCGAAGAAAATCGAAACGAATATAAAAAAAAAAAGAAAAAAAAATGTGAGCAAACTTTTCAGGAGATGCCCGCTACCAACTTCAAATCGGACGATCTAATTTCGATGCCGGACTTTGTCAAACGGTCACATAATGAATCTTCCGTCGTTTTGTGGGAGATCAATTCTCTTTGGTTGGTTCAATTTCTGTCAATGTACACGTCACTGAATACTTTAAACACTTCTCTTCGCCTTCCATTTTTCTCGAACTCACATTAAGAAAGTATTTTTTTAATGTATGGATGATATTGTTGGTTCGACAATTTCTTGAAAAAAGTTATCCTAACATCTTCTAAGTGGCATGCCACTTCAAAACATAGGCTTTGTAGTTCGTAATAAATTTTGTATTTTTGTTATCTCTCTTAAACCCTGATCTGTCATCTATTTACTCAAGTTCGCTAAATAGGTTATACGCCACTTCCCGCTGTTTATTTTGTCTCCGATATGTCCTGTGAGTGTCAAACTTTCTAATCCCTTTTCCTCTGTGACGTAGACATTTCAACTGTTTTTTATCTGATCTTATATATCAGTCCTCACAGCTTCTTCTTCTTCTTCTTCTTCTTCTTCTTCTTCTTCTTCTTCTTCTTCTTCTTTCTTCAAAGGCAACTGCAACTTTTTGTTATTTATTTTGTTACTGTTGAAACTTGACTAATGCATGGAATAATAATGCAACACAAAATGTACTTAGAACAAAATGTATTGAAACAAGAAAGTGTACACAATATTTAGATATAGTCTTTTGTATATTCCTGGTAAGACCGTTCCTGGAGAATGTGTTGACTGAGTCGCAGTCGGGCAGAGTCTCTGGTTGAATCTCTTGATTCCTCCCTCTCTTCCCGGTACCAACCATATTTATATGGTCGGTACTCCACTATGCAAATTAGGTGGATCCTACCACAACACCCCCTCCCAAGCCTTGGGATCCCTTTTGGATTTCAAACTGGCTTCCTATATGGATTGATGATTATGGCTATTTCTTTGTAGATCCATTTGCATACTTCATTTGCATATGTCCATCCGCTTAATTTTAATATTTTTTCCGTTTTGGATTCACGTCCAGTGGGTCCGTGAACTTTCGTTTCCTACCGGATCTTCTCGGTTCAGGAGTATTCTGCTGAGGTTCTACTTGAAACATATCATACATTACATCAATGGGATCTTCCTCCTCATCCGGTATACTCTCTTCATGCTCTATAACGTAACATTTTTTAAGTTGATTCTGGTGCCTTTTATGAGTATTCCTTTAATTATGTAAATCAGGTCACCGATTCTCTTGTCCACTATGCCTCGCTCCCAGAACTCAACGTTGTTTTTGTATCACTTGAAAAACAACTTCTCTCCGGAGGTGTATCTTTTTCTCGCTGTATACATAGTATTCTTTACTCTATTTTTTCCTGGCAAAAGTTTGTCAAACACTGACTTAACTTTCCTAGCGAACATTAGTTCAGCTGGTGCCATGTTTGAGTGTGTTCTCTGGTTTGGCGTGATTCTGTGTACTTGTAGGAATTGCTGAAGCGCCTTTTCCGTTGGAACTCCTGAGGCTTTCTTCAGAGCGCGCTTTAAAGTATCGATAAATCTTTCTGCGAGTCCATTGGACCTCGGATGATACGGCGGCGTCGTTATGTGGTTAATTTGATATAACTCACAAAATTCCTTAAATTCTTCAGAAGTGAATTGTCTACAATTGTCACTCACAATACACTCTGGCACACCGAACCGTGCAAATAGTTCATGCAAGAAAGTTGTTGTAAAGAATACTACGGGACTTTCATATGGGTCACCCGGGGGTTAATAGAACAAAAAGCTTAATGCGAAGCTTTGTATATTGGAAAGGAATGGATGTGGATATCGCAAACATGGTTCATCGATGTAAAGGGTGTGCGTTAGCAGCTAAGGCACCACCTATAGTACACAAACCATGGCCCAAGACGGATCATCCGTGGACAAGATTACACATTGATTTCGCTGGTCCAGTAGAAGATTATTACTACTTAATAGTGGTAGATAGTTTTACAAAATGGCCGGAAGTACTATGCTGCAAAAAGCCTACGTCTAATACCAAAACAGTTACTCAAGTTCGCTAGATAGATTACGCTTATTTTCCTGTCTCTCTCTTCAGAATACGCCGACTGCACCTCTGCAGAAGATTTGCATGCCCACCAATGAGGCGTCATGGGTAAGACGATAAAATACTTCAGACAGCAAGGCCCCTGATCAGGTGTAAGTACCTGTTAGGGTTCCAGCTATGGGTAAATAGTTCACCGCTAAACGATTACGCTTGTTTTCCTATGTCTCTCTTTCCTTCAAACTATCCTGTGAGTATCAAATTTACCAAGCCTTCTTTTCTAATTATTTTCCCATTTATTTTCAACTGTTTCTTCCTGATTCAATTTCCAATTTCACTAAAACTTCGTCGTTTTTCACATGTTTAGTCCTTAGGATTCTCATCATTCTTCTGTGGAAACACATTTCTGATGATTCAAGTCTATTCTTCATCTGTGGGGAGATTGTTTACCATCAATTGTTCTGATATAATCTTCTCTATGGTACCTAGACTACTAGTTTAAGCGCAGTACTAGATTAGCGGTACGGTCTTATCATTTAAATGTTGAAATGGCCCGGATGTAACCGTAAGTTCTATGCTAACAGTTTCTTCTCTCTCGCTTCTCGCTTGTGGAACACACTTCCGACTTCTTGCTTCCCAGTCTACTTTGATCTTCAAAAATTTAAACACAATGTCAATCGTTATGTACTCTCTTCTCCCGTCCTGGATAAGACGATAAACTACGTCCAACAGCAAGGCCACTGATCGGGAGGTTTTGATCTAGCTATGGAATTGTTGTGTTTGTTTTTAACACATAAAGGAATGAGGAATCATATGCACGTTTGATTACATCGCAATGTACTATGCGTGTACAAGTCAAATTTCTTTACCAGATCTTTATGGGTGAAGAATAAGATTCAACAATATTCCAGAATAAAACAGACACGGGGTTGGGGGGAATCCTTGAATATTACGACCCCCCACCGCCCACAAATGTGGCGTCTTGGGTAGGACGATGAAATACTTCCGACAGCAAGGCCTCTGATCAGGAGGTTTTGAGAAACTGTTGAACCAGATCTTAATTGCTGGCACTCCCAGGTCCACTCTGACTCGGGGTGGTAGTACCTGTTAGGGTTCTAGGTTTGGGTAAATAGTTCACTCCTAAACTGGGGTCACAACGCTATGAAAGTATAAAAATGTTTTAATACCAAAAAATACTTTGTAAAAATTATTGCCAGCAATAAATTTTTGAAGAAAAATTATTACCAGATATATATTATTACCAGCAATGCATTTTTGAAAAAAAAATTACCAGCTATACATTTCCAAAAAAAAAAAAATAAAAAAAAATACCAGCAATACATTTTGAAAAAAAAATATTGCCAGCAATAAAATTGTGTCGGCTTAAAATAACCCATTGTGGATATACCATAAACCAAACCTGTCTTCTCAATTCTTGTTCTTTTATTGTCCTTTCTCCTTAATAGAAAATTTTCTCATATTCTCTGACAATCAGTAACCAATTGCGTCTTAGTAACTTTGGAGGCGAAGTGATTAAATAAGATAATGTTGGGGTTCAATGTAGAAGAATGTCTGTCAACAACCTTGAACAAGACGAAGTTACGTAACTGATAGAAGATTCGTTCTCACATATCTTAATTATTTTAATAGCTTGATATCAAGTATCAATAAAATAAAACAATTTTGACAATATAATATAATTAAATATCTCTGATGGATAGAAGTTTCGTTCCTACCGTAGATCTTATTAGGAGCATATATGGGCTCGTGGCCGAGTGTTTAAAACGTTCGCTTTCTGCCCATGAGATCAGGTTCGAATCTCACCGTGGTCGATTTGTCAGGATGGCGACTTCCTGATGTTATCGGACTGGATCGAGGTCGATTCCAGCGTCCAGCACCTTTGGAAAGTGTCTAATAACCATACCACGGGTTGACCCAAGCCTGTGTAAGTGAAATTGGGATAATCCTATGCTTGAGGGTGTTGGCCTTATTCAAACTGTTAATCACGCCAAACACGCTTTTTCCCAGAAAATGTAACTAAGATCTGCTCAGCATAGCTGCAGTATAAACCAGTAGTGGACTCTGTGAGTGTTGAACGACCGTTTGCAATAGGGATTGGCCACCTGTCCTAGTAGAGGGGTATCCTCGAATACGAGTGGCCTCCTATTATTTGTATTTTATTAGGCGCAATAAGAGATCAACAACAGCGATCAATAAAATAAAAAATATAATTTAATAAAAGCTATACGATGGATCGAACACTTTTTCTTGCCGTTGATCCTTCTGGGTACAATAAGAGATTAGATTAACAACAATGGTAATTAAATAGAGCATTTTTTTAATAATATCTATAATAATAAAGTGCAGTGTACGTTTGTCCGTCCGTCCGTCTGTTTTTCGATCTCGGTGAATCATAAACAACCTGAAGTAACAACTAGTAACTACTGTAGTAACACGCGATTAAAAGTTAAATAAATGACTCATTTAAAATTAAATTTAAATATCGAACAGAGAGAAAGGTTTAGAAAACAATTCTTTATTAAAGGCTTAACTCTGATTTCGCTTTTCGTCGCAATTTCACTTGATATATTCTAATTAAACAGTAATTAAAAATTAAGCTCGTACGTTGCTCATGTTTTTGTTTTATTTTCTATACTGTGACGTATTCGAAATATTACACAGTTCAGGTTCCCTAATGTCTTTTAAGATTAACTTCATTTAAAGGGATCATAAAGAATAGTGATTTTAAAAGAAAATAAAAATAGTGCATAAAAACTACGGAGATCGGTTGCGTATACGAAGAAAGATTTTGCCGAATTAAGGTGTCGAATAATGAAATTCTAAATTCTTTTAACTTTTACGTACAGAGGTCGCTGAAAGTAAAAGGCCGAATACCCAAAAGCCCTCCGAAAAAGCTAGCCTAAAGTCCGCCCGAAGGATGGCTTCTAGGCTAATACTATAATTAAAGTTATATAATGGATCAAATATTATTTCTTATCGTAGATCTTATTAGAAACAATTAGAGATTAACAACAATAACTGATAATTAAATAGAACATTTTAATAATATATACTACGATAGAAGTTACGTGACGCAGAATAGGAAAAACAGTAACTCGCACTGGTTTCTCGGTTAATGAATTCCGAATGTTTCCTTATAAGGAAACGGCTAATATTGATATTACTATTAAAATTATTTCAATTTCTCTTCCAATTTTCTAAATCCACTGGAAATATCCATGGAGAATGTCATTTTTTTTAATTTATTCAAAACCGTCTCATCAGTAATTTCAGTTGCCTTATTAATATTTAAATGAGTCCATAATTCAACTCACTTCCAATTAACTATCCTTGAAGTAAACAATTCATTAGGACAGTTTTTTTCCTGGTTATTAATCGATATTCATTGTTATCTTTTATTTATAGCCACATATAAGTTTGCGAATTTGAACTGCATGACTAAAGCATCAGATTCAGGATCAATTCCGATTTGCTGCTATTAACATCCACTTACGTAAGTATTGCATGATTTGAGAAATGCCAATCTAACAATGAAATTGTTGTGTTTGTTTTTAACACATAAATAT